AGAACAGTACAATCACAGATTCACGTATGTCCTGTCGGGTGGGCTGTGCAGTGAGTGCAGCACTTCAGGGCAGCTATACTGCATGGTGGTGGGGGTTGAGTGCAGAGGGTAAGGGTCGTGGTTTTCAGGAATGGGTGGTGAAGATACTGGTGTTGGAGGCAGCGGGTGGCGTGAAGAACATGGAAGTTGGGGAAAGTGGGTTGGAGGTGACAGTGGGGCACAACGGAAAGAGTTTTGGGACAAGGGCTGTGGTGGGGAGGGTGGCGTTTGCGTTTGTGGTACTGCTCCTCTTTCTGCATGGCTACCAGCTCCTGGATCGCGTCTGCTTGGCGCTCCAGGATGCTTATGAGCCTATCAGTGCTTTGCTTCCGGTGCGCGGTGCTTTGCCGCCGGTGCGCTGCGTTTTCCTGGCGGATCTTGCTTTCTCTCTCCCTCCAGTTCTGTGCTTTCTCATTCTCTTTAATAGATTGCCGCATCATTTCTTGCAGCATGTCGTCTTTGCTTTTTTGCGGTCTCTTCCTGAATTTTTGCAGTCTCTGAGCAGGCGATAAGAGGGCCGGCTGAGGTCTCAAGGTTGATGCAGCTGTATAGGCAAAATGCAACGTTTAACAGAGGCAGTATTGTTTATACCAGACAGAGTAATGATTCCCCCCACACTTAAGGAGTAGAAAACACACAGGGTCTACACAATAGCATAATTTTCCCGTCCGAAACAGAGCGCACACATCCCACGGGAGCCTCAAAATGGTGAGTAAGGGGGACTGATTGTTTCAGGGCTGCACTGTCCTCTGGGTTTCTGTGCCTTGGGGAGAGCCAGCAGCTTCAGGGGGCACCTACACTGAACACTGTCCCAACATTTTCCACAGGAGTTAGTCCTGGACGATATCTCGCTGCTGAGGGTGACCTGGGAAGCAAGGGAGGGTCTTCTACTGCAATGCGGCTTCTGCCCTGGCCCGTGTGCAGCAATGGTCCCCCCACCCCTCGCGGCACAGTGGCGCGGACACGTTAGCCTGACAAGGACAAGGACCACGGTGGCTCTCCCGATAAACTTGCGCAAGCACATTGCACACATTCTGGATGAACATTCGAGGAGATTACCAAGGCCGATTACCGCGATGTGATAAACCACATCAATGCACTATTCCGCATCTAGGCATGCATGCCTAACCATCCTCTCCCAAAGAGCTCACACCAAAAAAATTCTTTCCCGGGGAAAAAAAACCCCCGCTTACTGGGAACCTGCTCTTCTGTTTGTCCTCCACCAGGTACCGGCCGCTGCGACTGGCTACCTTCCTCCTGGCTCGAGAAGAGCTCCTGGCTGCATGGCTCCAGGGATTCCGGGGTGTCTCCATCCGGCCCACCACCATCACTCCCGTTTTCCTCCTCCTCTTCCTCCTCTTCCTCCTCTCCCCCTCCCCCCGCCATCGGCTCTGAAGTGTCCATGGTGGTGCTCGGAGGGGAGATGGGGTTAACCCCTAGTATCGCATCCAGCTCTTTGTAGAATCGGCAGGTCGCGGGGGGAGCACCCGAGCGGCCGTTTGCGTCGTGGGCTTTGCGGTAGGCACTCCGCAGCTCCTTCACTTTAATCCTGCATGGTCATGGCCCCTTTCCATTATGTTCTTTGATATCTTCCTGAAGGTATCGTAATTCCTACGGCTGGAGTGCAGCTGGGACTGTACAGCTTCTTCCCACCAAACACTGATGAGGTCTAGCAACTCGCCATTACTCCATGCTGGGGCTTGCTCGGCGCGTGGAGGCATGGTCACCTGGAAAGATTCGCTGATAACACTCCACACCACGCTGGGCTGAGCAAACAGGAAGGGGATTTTTAAAATTCCTGGGGAATGTAAAGGGTGTGTCACATGGTTAGTTACCTGAGGCCAGGGCAGTAGACTTTGAACTGATGACCAGAGTGGCCAGAACAGGCATTGTGGGATACTGCCGAATAATTCTGGTGGCCATTCCCAGAGCATTGGGCGGCCACACTGGTGCTGCAGCAGCAGCGCAATACTTGCTATTCCTCTCGGAGTGGTGGAGTACATGCAATGCTGCAACCACGGAGATACAGCGCCGCAAATGCCTTGCCAGTGTGGATGGAGAGTGAGTTACAGTGCTGGGGGGAGTCTTTACAGCGCTGTAACTCGCAAATGTAGCCAAGGCCTTAGTCCTTTTGGCTTCTTTTAATTTAAAAAAAATCGGTGGTGGACATTCAACTGGGCAGTGCCTTGGCAATAGCAACTAAGCACTCTGGGTATTTTCCAGCAAGGCAAATCTAAATTCTGTAGCACTCTGGTGTGGCAGACTAGAAACTCTGCAGCAGCTTAATTAAAACTAAAAGAATTGTTATATTTTTAAACGAATAACATGAAATTAAGTCAATTATCATCCAATAGTTTTGATTTTAATTCAATTTTACACTATCCCCACACTTTTTGATTTTTTTGATATGTCAAGTGCGTTGGTACTAAATGCATAACTGTTTCAGAGACAGTGTCTTGAGGAAGGTGGAGGTGTTAGCACTTGATTGGGAGCAATTGCGTTTTAGCATTTGTGGTGGCATAGAATTGTGAGACACACATTTGTTAGATATTTCTACTAAAATGAATCAGTAGTGAAAAAGTTAGCAATGTTGGGATTGATCTTTGACATTTACACATAATACCCATTGTGTCATAATATTGTACAACTATGTAATAATAATATTGTACACGATGGCAGACACCCATTCCATGTAGAAATTTTTAATGTTTCTTAAAGGAATAAGTTGCCTTGCCTCTTTTATTTCTTTATATTCTTACAGGTTGCCTGCTACAGCACAAGTACTGATCAATGGGCAAATGTGTGCCCTCTACCTGCAGGGCATGGAGAGCCAGGTATTGCTGTCTTAGCCAATAGAATCTATGTCTTGGGGGGCAGATCCCACAATCGAGGGATCCGGATGGACTATGTCCATATTTATGAAGCTGAGAGAGACTGCTGGGAGGAAGGTCCCCAGTTGGAGGATGATATTTCTGGGATGGCTGCCTGTGTCCTCACTCTGCCTAGGGCTATTCTAATGGAGACAGAGAGGTGGACTCCAGAATGGAACCCAGACCGACTACAGCATCACCCAGACTTTGCCTCTGAGGTTATGAGTGTGTCAGACTGGGAGGAATTTGATAATTCAAGTGAAGATTAAGGACCTGAGGATTTTTTTTCAGGGCGGGAAGGAAATTAAGGCTTGGGGAAATTGTTTAGAAACTTTTTAATGTCTTTGGTATAACATACGTTGAATCAATATTTAAACATTTGGAAACTTAAATGTTCGGTACAAAAGGCCTTCTGCATTCTCTCTATTTACCACAAAGCAGCAGTGTGAAAGCAACCAAAGAACTTTTTTTTTTTTTTTTCCCTAATTAAAAGGCAGAGGTTTTTGTCCTTTGAAGGGGCCTCTTCTTAACCCACAGCATGGACAAAGGAAGCACCAAAGATCTAGCTTGGTTAGCTCCTTTGCTTCAGACTTTCAGCATGAAATCACTTCCTTGTTCCTCTGTAATGCTCCTGTCAGCATAAAATCTAATGGCCAGGAAGATACAACCTAGTGTCTGTCCCCTGTGTCAGTTGTCAGTCCGCTGTCACGCAGTGAGAGTGAGTGAGTGCTGTAGCAGTGACAGCAGCAAGAACGTTGGTTCGAACCCTTCTCCCATCTGGGCATGCAGCCATCATAACAGGCTTAGAAACTGTGATCTGACTCCCGCTTCTGAATTACTATACTGCAGGCTTTGTCAACAAGGTGGAAGACTTCTAGAAAAATGATCTTTGTACTGGTTATGGTAATCTCTTTAATCAGATGAACTTTTACAGATACCATTTGTTCACAAATGAAATAATAAATCCTTGTGGGAACTTTTTATTGTTATTATTTTTGTTGGTTATTGTTTTTTCCCCACCAGAATGTGGCAACCTAAAACTTGGAGGGCCAAATTCATTGCTTCATTAAGGTCAGTGAAGTTACACCAGTAACTACTTTGGCCCAATTATGTTGTGTTTTTTTATCTTCACTTATATGCTTAGAAAGTGAAAAAAAATATTGTTTTGCAATGGCATAAGGGGAAAAGGGAAAAAAACCTCAACTAAGGTCTACACTGCCACTTTCAGCACTAAAACCTTAGTCGTTCAGGGATGTGAAAAAACACCCCCTTGAGCAACAAAAATGTTAGCGCTGAAAAGCACCAGTATAGACAGCTCTTTACGGGGCTCCTGGCGATAAAGCTACCACCCCTCATTCAGGGTAGTTACTTTTTATCCGGGAGAGCTCTTCCCCCCGGCGATAAAGCGTGACTACACCTCCCATGTCGCAGTGCTTCCACGGCCGCACTGTAACAAGGGCAGTGTAGACATACCCTAAAAGGATTGAAAATTATCCTGGTCTAGGGTGACCAGATGTCCCGATTTTACAGGAACAGTCCCGATATTTGGGGCTTTTGCTTATTTAGGCTCCTATTACCCCCCCCACACACACACCCCCATCCCAATTTTTCACACTTGCTGTCTGGTCAGCTTACCCTGGTCCAAGGACCTGGACTTGCTAGATTAGTGCCAGGAAAACAATGGTAGACCACCAGAGTAAGAAACAAATATTGCATAACAAAGCATTCCTTTATTAATTGGCAGTTTGTAAAATCATTTACTTCTGATTTAACAGCTAACAGCTGCCATAGAAACCAATGCTTTGACATCCGAAAACTTTGTAATTCATGCTTTTGAATAGGCATAGGGTAACCAATTCTATCAGTTCATTAGCTATCAGGTGTTAAAATAATACCCTAGTTAACGTGGAAGGAGGGGAAGGGGCAGAATCAAAGTGACAATTGGAATGAGAGGTTTCAGAGTAGCAGCCGTATTAGAGCCGTGCTCTAATAAATTTGTTAGTCTCTAAGGTGCCACAAGTACTCCTGTTCTTTTAATTGGAATGAGGTGATCTTAGTCAAATATGCCATCACATAGAGGCTTTGGAGATTGAACATAGAACTGGCACTATAAAGAACTGGAGGAAGCCAGTGGAAATTAACTTCAAGTAGGGAACCTCTGTAAGGGAAACTGATGACTTGTAAAAATAGATCTAGAAGATTCCACATCGGTAAACAGGATTTCTAGAAAAGATTAAGGAGGCCCCCATGCAGTTCTTTCAATACACTAATCAACTTTCTGGATCAGAGCAGTATTTTCAACTCTACTTGTTTTAAACTGAGAGGTCTTGATCTCCTGGACCTAAGCCAGGTCAGTGGCCCTGTCTGCAACCTGAAATGGGTGCTCTATACACCTAAGCACATGAAGCAAGAGGGATATGGAGGAAGACCCAGGAAAACCATACAGATAAGCCCCCTCAGAAAAGGCCTTTTCAGGAGATAATGAACCTAACACCTACACACACTCTTAAAATACGGGCACACTTCAATATTGAAAATTAATGGCTCTTTATTCTGTGTCTAGAAAGCTGCTTTGAATAAATGAGGGGACTAAGTTAAATGTGGATCTTTTGTTTGTTGTATTGCCTGCTGTGCACCAATACGAGCTGTATTTTAATTGGTTTGCTACAGTATCTCCTTATAGAATTCTACTCTTAAAGTTCAGACCTAATGTAAAGTAAGGTGCTAAGTTTTGAAAAACTCTGTTCAATGGAGAAGCATTCTTGCCAGTGGCATCCAATTACATGTATTTTTAAGTGATATTGTCTTCTTTTGTGATAGAAAAGGGTTAATGATTCTTTGTGCTGCTTGTGGAGGCATGTTTTCTTTTCCTGTATGTGCCAGTAGAGGGCATTGCATACAATTGCAAATAAGCAGGCCTTCAGGCTAATTCTTGGATTTCACAGAAGAGGTCAAGGTGAGACAATAATATACTAGGTTCCAAATGAATGTTCCTCAGCTGAGCCTTAAAAGAAGCAGCTGGTAAAAAGTTCTGATTTTAGATGTTGCCAGGTGACTTAAGCTTTCATGTACATAAGTAAACATATTCGATATTGTGATGGTATTATTTGTTTAATGTTGAGGACTGACAACATGCTTGGCATTGTCCATGAGAATTCCTTTTTTAGCTGTGCATAGTGTGTCTGATCCAAAGTAATACTGTGTGACCAGTCTTATCTCTATGTTTTGAGTTAGTAGGTAACAGAAGTTTAATTACTTTCACCCGAGCTAGTCATTCAGGAGTGGTTTACTTTAGTTATAAGTGCATCTTTCCAAATGAATGTGTTCATAATTAAATCTCAGTTTCAAAGTCAGCAGGCTATCTATCTAATAGAGAACATGGAAAGTCCTTTGTAGCTTTGGTTTACTGGAAATAATGCATCTTTCACAGAAAAACTGTGGGAGAGGACAGATTGATATTCTCAGTCATTATTGATGTTTCCTATCAAGAACAATTTTCCAGGAACTGCATGGGAACCCTGCCTTTTAAAAGCCCTTGCCTCTTCCTATGGGAAAGCATGCACTAGTAAGGATTCTGTTGTATTTTAGGTTGACCCTATTTTCAGTGATTAAATTTGATTCCTCTGATTTCCTGAATATGCCAGCCTTGTATCTTGGAGCAAAAAGGAGGTGCATTCATAATTACACCGAGTTCTGTTGGACAGTGGTATAGCACAAGAAATATCCAGAAATTATAAAAATGGTTCTGACTAATAAAAGTATAATGCAATACTTCTGTCAGCATCAAGAGATTAAAAACCCACAAGCTCATCTCACTGATACATTACAAGGCTTAGTAGAATAATAATTGGATTACTTGATTGTTTGTCTATTTGTATCTGGCAATTAATTTAAGTTCTGTAGATAGAACTTCCATTTGGAATCCCAGTGTCATTTTCTGCTTATTTTTAAGGATGTCTCAAAATATCAGGAAATCCATCATTGCCACAGTAATTGTAATAGCAACTAGAGCAGAGTGTCCTGTCACAAGCTACATGAGCTAAGGACAGAGCTTTGCTTATGCCTATCTCTGCAGCGTGTAGAAAATACAGAATTGGAGGTGGTTGTTCAAGTACTTATGATCCATCACAGAAGACTCTTCTCGGTACCTTTCAAATCCTAGAAAATGTTAATATAGGGGCCCAATCCCACAATGTGGAAAAGCGTAGGCTCCTCCAATTGGCTGCAATGGATCTAGCACAGGGAGAAGTGAAGGGTAGTTCTAGAGTAGGCAGATGTGTGAGGGAGGATTCCTACAAGAGGGATTTGAAGGAAGCAGAACAAGGGACAATAATTTTGTAGTTCCTACACTGGACCCTTTCTGCAGGACTCACTCCAACTTTAGTATCTTCTTTCACTCTCTAAACCCTGCTCCTGAGAACTGGGTTGCAACATCTGGCAATTTCCCCATGTGTTTATATCCTATATTGGCAAATGGTGCAAAATCTAAAAAGTCTGGGATGGGAAAGGGGGTTTAAGTTTGTAGACCCTTAACATTATCCAGATTGTCTAATATGGAAGATTTAAATCAGGCACTTATTTTAAAAAACATTGTCCAAGAAACACACTTACAAGGAATGGCCAGATTGTGATATCGAGGTCAGAGGTAAAATCTGAGATTTTATTGCAAATTAGACATGTTTCTAGGTACCTAAGGTACAACTGTCAACTTGTAATAGTCCAGGAGGAATTCAAAGCTTACTGTTCATACATACAGAATTGCCAGTTTTGTGTAATATGGGAATTTTATGTGAAATCCAAAACCTTATTTCAAATATAGAATCTCGTAACACCTTTAATACGAAAGCATCCCAAAATACAACACTAGCTGTATGTGTCTTGGTATCACTTCACCAACCACTGAAATACAACCATCTCTAGGATGGAAAACAACAGCTGTTTAACAGCGTACAGCAATACTAACAGAAATGATTAGGCCTGGAAGTGAAGAATGCCATTTTGAAGCTGCCTTTACATGCAAAAATATTTTCTAAATTTCTAAGGAAAGTTACCTATGTGTCATGCTTCAACTCCTAATGGTTTAAGAATTTACATATGTCCATTCAGAATCTTTTTGTTTCATTCATGTACAGATAGTTTAGGTTGGATTGAGAAGCTCATAAAATTGCCTTACACCATTTGAAGAAGATGGGGTTTAGTCCGCTCAATGTGGTTACAGCTGAAATTGAGAAGTAACTGGCAATTAAACACTATCACATGCTAAATATAATTTGTGTAGCTATAAATACTACTACTACTACATCAATACTTATGAGATTTGGGGATGAAAAAGGATTCCATAAATGAAAGCTGTTTTACAAACATTAATAAATTAAGCTTCATCACTGTAAGGTAGGCAAGTATTAGTAGCCTCATTTAAACAAATGGAGAAAATGACGTAGAGAATTTAAGTGACTTGTCCAAGGCCACACAAAAAATTAGTGGAAT